GGGATTTTGATAACAAAGTTCAAGTCCACTAGATGGCATATTCCCACCTTGCCATGGTATACAATAGGCTAGGAAACCACAAGTCCTGGTCAAGAATGTCAGGGAGCAGAGTTTGGGGAGGGCAGGATCTGCTTCAGGTCGTCCTTGAATTACAAGCACAATATGAGTCCAACATTTCCATTGCTCACACTTAAGGGAGTTTTGCCTCTTTTTATGCCCTTTCCCCAGAGTTTGTGAATCACCGCAGTTGTTAGATTGGTAACAGAGTTGTTAAGTGAATCTGGCTTCCACTTTTGCTTGTCAGTGGGTCGCCAGAGGCGATCACTTTACCCCTGGGATGTTGCAACTGTCATAAATACATGCCAATTACTGAATTTTGATCATGTGACCACAAGGGTGTTGCGACACTTGTAAGTTTGAAAAACAGTCATAAGTCACTTTTTTCAGTGCCGTTGTAACTTCAAACGGTCACTAAGCAAATGGTTGTAAATTGAGGATTACCTTTACTCGGCACAGTGGCAACTTGACAAACCATTGTGCTAGGAGGAATCAATTTTTCCTTGATTTGATTACTTGATTGTGTGCTGTCAAGGTAGTGTTGGCTGTTAATAACGGTCATTATTAATGACCGTTAATAATGGTAGTGTTGGCCATTAATGGCCATTAATTATGCCTTCTCCAGCATAAATTGCCCCTTCAACTCTTCCAGTAATGGAACCATGACTACTTTTAACTGAGTCCATTCACCTTGTATTAGTTGTTGTCCTCTTTTCTTTTCTTCTGTGTTTCCCACTCTTATGGAGTATGCAAGCAAGCAGAATCATTGCATAATATGATAATTTAAGATAATTTAAGATAACACGTCAGCAGCACCAAGGTGCTTCCGTGTTGACAGGATTAGTTGGTGATATCACCGTTGCCTGGGGCACGCCCAGTTCAGTGCTCCTTTCATGTCCCCGACAGGAGCTGGAGTAAAGGACGGGAGCTCACCCCGCCTTACAACAGCACTGGGTCTCGAACACGGGCTTGCTGACCTCCAATCTAGCGTCCTAACCACGCAAGCCACCATGCTCCCAATTGTCTTGATGATCCACGTATTTGTTGTCTGGGGAATTCTGGGAGTTGAAGTCCACAGATATTAAAAGTTGCCACACCTAATTTACATGCTTTGATCCAGGGAGTGAAATTGTTACCAAACAAGGAAAATATATATTTACGCTTCTCCCACCTGAAGTTAAATTGTTCTCAAACAATTAAACTTTTTAAAAAAATTATCTCTCATTTCTCTCCCTCTCTCTCTGTCTACAGTATTTTTCAATGGGCTCTTATTTTCGCTTGCCATGTCCTCAAAGGGGAAGAGAAAGGGCCACAGTTCATCCGAAGAGCGCAGCAAGAAGCACAGGAAGGCCATCAGTCTGAATTTGAAGATGAAGATAATCAAAGCCTACGACGCCGGGAAGAAGGTGAACATCATCGCTCAAGAAGAAGGCCTGGCCCATTCTACCATCTCCACCATTTTGAAGAACAAGGAGCGGATCAGGGAGGCCATGAAAGGATCGCCGGGAACGAAAGCCATTATCACCAGGCAACGCAAAGGCCTCATCCATGAAACAGAGAAACTCCTGATGCTTTGGATCGAGGATCAGTTCCAGAAAAGGAGTCCCATCAGCCTCCCTCTCATTCAGGCCAAGGCCCGCAGCATTTTTGCAACCCTGAAGGAACGAGTGGGCGAGGAGTGCACTGAAACGTTCACAGCCAGCCGTGGTTGGTTCATGCGCTTCCAGCAAAGGTTTAATTACCACACCGTGCACCCGCCAGGCGATGTTGTGGGTGCCGACGAAAAAGCAGCCCAACGCTTCCTGGATGTCTTTGACGATCTCATAGCAGAAGGGAACTATTTGCCCGAACAGATATTCAGCGTGGACAAAACCAGGTTATTCTGGAAAAAAATGCCTGAGCGGACCTACCTTCACCAAGAGGCCCAAGCTACGCCTGGATACAAGGCCTTTAAGGACAGGATCACTTTGCTGTTGGGTGGAAACGTTGCTGGATTCAAGCTGAAGCCGTTTCTGATCCACAAATCAGAGGATCCCCCCGTGTGCGAAAACATTGGCCAGCAGACCCTGCCCGTTTATTATCAATCTGATCAGAAAGCTTGGATGACCCAAGTCGTCTTTGAGGATTGGTTTGTGAATTGCTTCATCCCCCAAGTGCAGGAATATTGTTTTCAAAACAGAATCCCTTTTAGAATTCTTCTGCTCCTCAATAACGCCCCTGGATATCCCCTGCACCTGGAGGATGTCCATCCAGACGTGAAGGTTGTTTATCTACCCAAAAACACCAGCCCTTTCCTACAGCCCATGGATCAGGGAGCTGTGTTGACCTTCAAAGCGTGCTATTTACGGGCCATGCTGGCCACAGCCGTTGCCGCAACGGAGGACAACGGGGTGTCCTTGCGCGAGTTTTGGAAAGCGTATGATATCAACCACTGCATCGAAAACATTGCGACGGCCTGGAAGGATGTCAGCCTGAAATGCATGCAAGGGATTTGGGAACGGTGCTTAAAACGCTTTGCGCTCCTTGTCCGTAATTTTGAAGGCTTCGACCCCAACGAAGATTTGGAGGAAATCAGTCACAACATTTTGACACTCACCCAAGCCCTCAGTTTAGAGGTGGATGCGGAAGATGTGAAAAAATGGATCGCCTACCATGAGGGAGAGCTTTCCAATGAAGAATTGATCGAACTGAAAGAAGAATTGGAGGCCCAAGGCATTGCGGAGGAAGAAGATTAAATAAAATTCTAGACTTACGTTCAGGAAGTTCAGTGTGAAAATATTGACTGTTGTTTTTCTTGGGACGTTAACAAAACGTTATGAAAATTAGAAAGTATGGATCCCAATGTAGAACATTTTGAAAAGTTACATTTGGGAGACCAGGAGGTTCATGTGAAAATATTAATTGGTGTTTTCTCAGATGTTAATGAAATGTTATGAAAATTAGGAAGTATGGATCTGAATGTAGAACGTTTTGGAAAGCTACATTGGGAAATGCAAGTGTTCTAGGAAAATAGATGAAGAAAAAAAATGTGCAAAGAAAACTTAGTGAATTCTTTCAGAAAAGTTATTCCTTGCTCACCTCTTGCTTCCTCCCCATCCTGAAAAAGGGCAGACACAGAAGATGTTCAGTTCATCAGCCTGCTAGGCCCCCCGTATCCATTTCCCAAAACAGCAAAAAGACTATTCTTTGGAAGGGGATTTCTATTGATGTTTACAGGTACAGTACTGTAATTGTAAACACTGATTTTGTATTCTTTTATTTTTGTACTGTAACACAACATGATGGTGCTTAATAATAATACATGTTAGATCAAAGATGTTTTAAAATATTAGAAATGATGTTCAGTTCGTTGGAGGACAAAATTGATTTCTTTAGAAATAAAGATTTTTTAAAACATTAAAAAAGTAGCTCAGTTCATTGAAAGCTTAAAGAAGTTACGTACGAAAGGAAGAAGTTAAATTGCATATGAATGGAAAAAGGTAAATTTGTGATTTTTCCACTTATGTGCTGCATCACTTAGTGACCAAGTTGTTGGTCCTGATTGTGGTCACTAAAAAAGGATTGCTTATATATTGGTCTTCTGTTAAAATAATCGTTTTAATACTTTGCACATAATTGTGCAAAGGTGCTGGCCAAGGAACTAAGAGTTAGTGAGTTCTAGTCCCACCTTAGGTGTGAAAGCAGTGACTTTGGGCCAATTACCAGGAGACAGTGAGTTCTAGTCCCATCTTAAACCATCAAAGTGATATGGGTAATCACCAGGATTGGCCCAAAATCACCTGGCCAGCTTTCATGCCTAAGGCAGAACTAGAAATCGCCATCTCCTGGTAATTGACCCACTTTGACACCCCTGGTCTGCACAGTTGTGGTACCTTGGAATGAGGTGAGAACCGGGGCCGATAACACTTCATTCCAGAGTATCGAATGGACAATCCAGTTTGCTTGCATGCAACTTCGAAACCACTTACCACTTTGCAAGATGCCACTAAGGGATGCAGCCTTTTCCCCTGGTTTACGTTTCCCCCCCATTTTACGACCTTTCTTGCCATGGTCATTAAGTAAATGATTGCAGTTGTTAAGTTAGTCACACAGTTGTTAAGTGGCTCTGGCTTCCCCATTGACTTTGCTTTTCGGAAGGTTGCAAAAGGGGATCACATGACCAAAGGACACTGAAACTGTTATAAGTACACGCCAGTTTCCAAGTGCCTAAATTTTGGATCACGTGACCCCGGGAATGCTGCAATGGTTGTATGTGTGAAAAACAGTAATAAGTCACTTTTCTCATGCCGTTGTAATTTTGAATGGTCGCTAAATGAACTGCTGTATGTCCAGTAATACAGGCAGTCCTGTTGTAAATTGAGGACTACCTGTAGCACAGTTCGATTTAAGGTAGTGAGAACCTGGTGTGGAAGTGGGCTGGAGGTCTCGGCTTATGGCCATGATTTTAGGGTCGCTTACTGAGTCCTCTTTTTTTTGCGGGGGGGGGGCATTTTAAGGGCTGGAGAGAATGATGTGAAGGCTACATCCTCTTGGTGACAAAGAATTTGGAGAGATGGAGCAAAACTCAAGATTTCACATCACTGCACAGGCAGAGGGAATAAGAACTGGGAGCCACAGACAGCTGCCCTGCGTGGCCCTCCAGAGAAAAGAGGCAGGTGGCAGGGGACAGTCAATTCCAACTTTCTGGCTGTCTCTTGTAGGGGAGTTTTTTATTTGAGGAAGGGGCTGATTCAGCCCCTGAAGTTTGCCTCCGCTTTGCAGTACCTGCTGCACACAAAGTGCTTTCAAACGCTCCTCTGATCATCTAGTGGAGGGTGAGGCCGAAAAACCACAGCCATGCACGGCGACCTCAGGGTCTGTGTCTTTCTCCCTGCAGGCGAGGAAACCACAGCCTTGGGGTGCAGCCACGAACCCTTTGACTCCAGCAGGCCTGCCTCCAGTGCTGGACTGGGTAATGGAACCAAGAAGGTAAGGACACAATCACATTTTAGGTGCAATTTTTTTTTCCGGTTCGGCCAGGACTCGCAGCTCCTTGGACTGCAGTGCAGGAGAGCGAGTCTTTGGGCAGCTGTCTCCATCGAAGAAATATTTCAGACAATAGTGGTGTGTTCTGACTGCTGGAAGCTGGGCTTATTCCACAGGACTGGAGCCTGCTCCACATGGTCCTGATCAGCAAGCAAGAAGGAAGCCTCTCCATGGGGAGAGAAGCAGCATTGTAGCCGCCCGACAGAAGTCATTGAGGATCTCAGGTGGCCCACCAGCGGGCCAATTCTAGCCCAGTGGTTCATTTTGCACAAAAGACCAGTTCTTGCCGTCCAGCTTCAGGTCCTACTGGGTAGGTTGGCCTCAAAGAGAGGGTCTTTCTCCAGGGGGTTGGTGACTGGCAAGCTTGGTGGCATGGCAGGCCCAGGTGGTGTTGGTGGCAGTTGCTTCCAGTGCATGTGCAGATGCTGCTTTAGTGACTGCTTGTATTGGAAGTGCTTGCCACAGTGTGGGCAGGCGTATGAGTTCTCTCCCATGTGCACACGCTGGTGTTCCAGCAGGTACTTCCTGCGGGTGAAGGTCTTGAGGCACTCGGTGCAGCGCTGGTGCCTCTTGCCGTTGGCGTGGCTGGCCTGGTGGCTGAGGAAGGCCTGGGCGTGGCCGAACCTCTGTCCATACTCACAACAGGAGTACAGCTTAGCTCCGGCTTGGTGGACACTGCTTTGGTGCTTGACCAGGTGGTGGATGCACACAATGCACTTGTCGCATTGCCCGCAGCAGTACGGCCGCTCCCCGGTGTGGATCCAGTAGTGGTTGGTCAGCCTGGACTTCTCTGCGAAGCGCTTCTCACACTCGGGACACTGGTAGGGCTTTTCCCCCATGTGGGTGTGGGTGTGATTGTCCAGGTGCTGTTTCCAGATGAAGGTCTTGTTGCACTGGAGACACTGGAAAGGGTGTGGTCGCTCGCGGTGGGTCTTCTGGTGGACCACCATGCTGGAGTTGTGGTTGAAGGCTTTGTGGCACTCCGAGCACTGGTGCTACCAGTCGGTGTGGATGGCCTGGTGCCAAGTCAGCTGGGCCTGGTAGCTAAAGCCGCAGCCACACTCAGAGCACACAAAGGGGCTGTTACTCTTCCCCACAGCATGGATCTTCTGGTGGATAAGCAGGCTGGTCTTCAGCTGGAAACACTTCGGGCAGAGGGAGCAGGCGTGCGGCCAGCCAGCTGTTTCGGAGACGACCACATTGCTGAAGTTGTTGTTATCCTCTGGGCACAGGTAGGGCTCAGGGACCTGGGGGGACACTGGACTTGGTCACCGGCCTGACCCCTTCCCCATACACTTCCTCTCCTGCGAGGATCTTCGAGGGCAAGGAAAGCTCATCCACACCCTTGAAGCACCTCAGCTGGTCTTCCTTCAAGCAGGTTGCTGGTGGGGCAGCCTCAGGTTTGGGGCAGGTTCTCTCACTGGGGTGGGGCAGCTCCTATGGTGGCTTTTGGGGAGGAGGAGGGGAAGGTTGACTCTGAGGGCAGCTTTGCCTCTGACAGCATCTGGGGGTCTGGAAGACCTTGTTGCTGGGTGCTGCATGGAGCCGGGCAGGCAAGGCCTGTTTCAAACTTTCTTGGAGCTTCTGTTCCTCGCTTTTAATTCTGGGGCTCTCGTCTGGAAGACAGGAGAACCAGGGGGTGGGGGCGGGGGAAAACAACTCAGTTAAAACGGGTAACCCTAACCTACCCACCCACCCCCGAGCAATCTGAATCAAAGGGAATCCTTAAATGGACAGATTTTGCAGCAAAGGAGGAGAGCTGTTTGAGGTTGTCATTGGAAGAAGACAAAAGAGAGGTGCAAACGTTTTGAAGGCATGTTCCTTAGCCTTGGGCATTTGAAGGGTGGACCAACTCCCAGAATCCCCCAGTCAGTGTGCTTTTAAGAGATGTGGACTTCAACTCCCAGAATTCCCCAGTGGAGCATGCCAGGAATTGTGATGGCATCATGTCAGATGAGATGGCATCATGGCTTCTCCTGGAGACCTGTGATCATTCAACTCACCATAGCCAAGGGTGGCAGGGGTCTCTCTCTCCAGATTCCACTTTCCGGGACTGCGAGATTCCTCCTGTTTAATCCAGGACAAGAGACCATCTTTGGAAGTCAATGGTTCTGCTATTAGGAAAGAGGATCACAGGTAGGTACCTGTTGTGGCCCAGCAGGAGCCGTTGGAGCTGCCACCAGACTCC